TAACTGTGGACGTCTGGACTTCTGATGTTTCACGAACTCTCACAAGGATCTCAAAAGTTCCTGAGAATCCCTTCAAAGTGACGTCCTGCCAAACATATGCAGCACTTCTACATTTAAACACAATTCAAGCCTATTAAGAACAAACTGATGATGCCAATAGCATTTCCCACATCTACCTGGTATTTATACCCATGAGTGGCAAGTGGCACATCAAGCTGCAGACTCTGGCTGTCATTACTCAAGATGTAGCCACGCCGGTCTGCCAGGTCTGAGGTTAGCACGTCTAACCCGATGGTTAACTCCCACAAGTAGTCAAAAGGCTGATGGTTCAGCTTGAAGCGTATCCCGGACTCAGAGCAGACCGCGTCAAAGGTTGGAGGTGCTGTCGGATATAAGGTTGTTAACCATTCTTAAAGCTTTTGCCAATATTGAGTAAATAATCAAATAACTTACAGACATCTGTGAACAGTGCCACAATGGATGCCAAGCGGTAATAAGACTCGTTTCCAGGTAGCACAGCCAGCGTGTAGTTAATATCCAGTATAAACTGAAGAACTGCATCTTCTATAAAGAACTATGAAAGAAACAAATTCACCAAGATGAGCAGGATTTAAGCCATCATGTTGTGAATGTTAATAATATTTATTTCAAACATAGGTAACAAGTGTTTATATCAAAGCAAAATCAAAGTCATCATTTTCACAAGGGCGCGGTGGCGGCAGGGTTACCTTCTGTTTGACAACAGGGTCGTGGAACAGCACCTTCAGTGTGTAGCCATGGGTGCCGTTGGGGTGAAGAACTTCAGTGACCTTGTAGGTGCTCGTATTTGTAAATGGCAACATAAAGTCTTGCTCATTCAGCTGGATAGAAACTAACATGACATCTTCAGGAACATTGCCGAGATAGATGGTGAACATCTGTTCTTCAAGGACTGTTTGATTATGAGTGAAAATTGTGCAGGGCAACAGGGGAGTAACCAGAGTCCTGCGAAACTGGAGCATGGTATCTACATAGTCACGATCTACTGAGATCTGCTCCACGGAGAGGTCGAAGGCATAAAACTCATAGAGGCTCCCAATAACAAAGCTCTGAAAGACAAACATGCAGTTTGCATGACTTCAATCTTTACCATTAGATAAACTGCTAGTCTGACTAAAATATGTTTCACAAAGGATGTAATACAAGATAAATTAGTCACATGGCCACAAAGACTAACATCTCTAGAGTAAAAATAGGATAACAATCTGTTCTGGCTTGGATTGCAGTCACTGTCCGAAATGTTGCAATGAATCCGCTCATCAGCTCATCTGTGATTAAACTGAACACTATTCAGGAATATTGCCTGTTTGCAATCTGCTTTCTAAAGCGAGAGTCATTGCTGGCCTACTTCCTGTCTTTCAAAAGGCAACAAGATTACAGAATGCACACAGTTACAACAAATGGGGTTGTGCCGAGCTCTCCAGTTTTTCCCCCTAGTTTGGAGAATTATTCAAGTTATTAAATGCTTAAACAAGCCATCCCTGTGCATCATCCAATTCAACATTTTACAAAGCATCCTCAGAGCAATCCAAAAGCTATACTTAGCATGCACTGCAAAGAAATTTCCAAGTTTGTATGATCCTCAGCTCAGATTAAATATCCATCCTCTGACCTTCCTGTGTCCTCCTTCAGCATTATAAGGGATGCTGATATGGACTGTGCCTTTGTGCTTCTCAACAATGTATCCCCTCTTCTCTGCAATTAGCTGCTCCATGGGATCCCCGTTCAGTCCAATCCTTATCTGTGTGCCACCGACACTCGGGTACAGCGCCTCTGGAGTCTTCCACATCATATAGCCCCCGTCATCAAAGTAACCTTCATCTGTTAAGAGGAACAACATTGCAAGTCCACCTGATCCTAAGCAGAAAGTCACTAAAATGACAAAGGCAGATACTGACACATGGAGCAAGCAGCCAAGAGGTCGACCATAAGGACAACCCAGTTTTGTCTGGAGAACACAGTTGCATACACTGCCTCCACTGGAACATCCTCCACCTGCAGAGAAATGCATGTAAGCCTTGCTTTGCGTCAATGGTTCAAATGCAGATTCTGAGTCTGTGGTTTACCTCAGTGCTCAGTGAGTCAGGTTGCCCATAGGGCGTTCGAAACAGAAGTCTTCCATCCCTCGAGTCAAACGTATAGCCCCGCTTCCGTGCTTGTGACACATTCATGGACGGCATCTGCTTCTCCGGTCTTTGAAAAGTCACCTGCCAGTCTGAAGAAGTGGTGCTGCGTACCTGGAGGAAATGTACAAATCTTAA